CACACACACACACACACACACACACAAACACCCACAGTGGGACACTGAGCCACTCTGTCTCCCGCTAAGCTGTTTTTATTGAGCTATAATGTCACACATGCAGTTGCAACTACAATTTCCAGCCTCTTCATGCATTTGATGTGGAAAGTAAGTCAGAATTTGTTCATGTGATCATGAGATGGGCAGGTATCCGCGTGACTTGGATTTTGTTTAAACACGACCATGGCGCCAAATTTTATGGCACAGTGTGTAATTGAGCCGAAAGGAGATAAGACCAGTGCAGGATGTGGAAAGAACTGCATCTCAACCACTACGTTTGATAAGAACTAATGTATAACATCTCAATAAAAATGCTAATTCCCAGTCTGACAGCATCAGCAACCACCGGCAATTCTCCACTGCCGCCAAAGTCTTTAGCACCCTACAGACAATCGGATAAGACTGTGGCAATAAAAAGTTACGGTTGTATAACGGTCTGATATATGTCTGCTTTTATGAGTCGTTGGGCTCTCAAACAAATTGCACCATTGAGGCAGAAAATTTAAAGGAAAAAAATATATATATGAGCTTTTCATCCATCAAAGGCAGCTTGAGAAACATTAAATATGTGAACAACCGTGGAACTGTGCTTTGTGTTAAATTAAAACACCGAACAATGGAATGAAGGGCCTTGAAATAGCAGGCAAATTCAGTCCTGGGTCATCTGCACCTGCACAGTCCCTTTTGTTTCCGCACAAAAAAGAGAGTGTCCTTCAGCGATGACTTTTTCTTTCCATCCACTTTCTCAGACTTCAAAAAGCCTGAGGTAGTAGCCCAAGGGGATGGTCATTTATGGATCAGAAATGAGAGACTCTGAGGTCACCTCTGACCGCCGCGTGTGAGGTCACCTCTGACCGGCGCGTGTGAGGTCACCTCTGACCGGCGCGTGTGAGGTCACCTCTGACCGCCGCGTGTGAGGTCACCTCTGACCGCCGCGTGTGAGGTCACCTCTGACCGCCGCGTGTGCAAGCGGCTGCAGGCCATGGCACCATCGTGCCCTGGAGGAACTTTGCAGGGATTATAGATCCTGCTACTCAAGGTCATAAAGGAGGGAAAAAGTCTAACATTCGCTCAAAATAATTGAGGAATGCTTATAAGGATACATCTGTTTCTAAGTATCTGTAAAGACCCTTGAGCTAAAGGTTCAGAGTTCAAGTCTCCTTCCACCTGAGAAAAGCCAGTTACACCAATTAGATATTCTACTGCATGAATGAACAAAACTGTATATGTTGCTGCAGCCAAATGAGCAAGTAAAATATGGAACAGAGAAAATGATGAAAAGCCCAGTACATTATTTATAAATTCATGTTTATATAATGTTTTTATCCACAAGCTGACTGATAGTGTGAAATCTGTAACTCCATATAGAGCATGTTGTGATACTTTAAGCTACTGCATCCGAACTTGTCAAACACGGGACAGAAGATTTTCCCAGAACACTTTTCCAGTCTCCTTTCTGCTTTCTCATTTATCAAACACACAACCACATGTTATTGCATTAGGTAATCTAGTGGGGGGGTTCGTCTATAATTACGGGAGATGTGGCTGTTTATCTATGTCGGCTGAACAGTGGAAATTTGCTTCACGGTATACAGTTAGAAACTTCCAATGTGGAGAACTCTGGACCTTCTTTGCAGAGGTAGAGGGTCACAGAACAAAATGAAACGTCTAAAATGAGAGATGGAATAGAAAGTGCTCGTTACAGCTGGAAACAGAAGAAAAAAAATAAAAAAAAAAACTTGGGTAGATGAAAAATAGATTGATTAAGCAAACAAAAAGCTTTGAATCTGTCCTGCCATCTGTTCCTCTCCCACCGAGGTATTTGTACTGAGCGGAGCTCATACTGCGAGAACAATCCAGGCTGTCGCATTCCCAAAATCTAAAAAATCATCCCCCAAACTTAAAATTACCTGAACAGCTGGGGAGGGGAAACAGGCACCCTGCGAATGTCAGGAACGCGGACCCGGAAAGCAAGCGGATAACGAGGGATTGGTGCAGCGTGACAGGACAAGCGGTGCACTGGGGGGAGGGCGATTTCCCCGCTGTGGCCCAGTGCGGCGGCGCACCTGCATAGTGGATCCGGAAGCCCTTGTGACTGGAGGCGTGGTCCGAGGACCAGTGCAGGTAGACCTTGTTGGAGGTGCTCGTGACGGTCAGGGGGGAGGAGTAGTTACCGCTCAAGGTGAGGAGCGGGGGACTTTGCCTTGAAGGACCTGGGGAAAAGAATAGGAGCTCAGCGTAGTATGCGAGTATCCTGCTTTTTAGGGTGTTTTATTTGTGTACTGTGTACTTAATCTGTTTGCACCACATTTACTTGTTTGCACTGTTTGTCTTGTCTTTGCACTTTGTCTGCTTTGCTCTATACATATGTTTGTCTGTGCACTATGCACCTGCTGCTGCATGCACCAGAAATTCCCCAGCAATCAATAAACTTAATCTTCATTTTAATGAACATATAACTTTTTCATACATAAAATAACTTGCAGCACATCCCCAAATAAGCTATTAAGCCAGGAGCCGAGAGACTATTCTGACCAAGAGTCATAATTAAGTGTGAAAATGATCTACACTACATTTACATACAACCTACACTATTTACTGTAGCTTATACTGTACATTATTGGTCATTTTTAACAGTTATATATCTGAATATATATAAACATTGGGACTAAATAACCAAACAAACTTGTTTTGGTTTTTCGTTCATTTGATCAGGGAAAGTCAAACATCTGACAGCATTTACAGAGCACATGACGCACCGTGAGCTTGACAGGGCTTTGACGGGAAAACATTAGCAAACCTTGCGTGGCAGACGCCTGTTTGAAGGAATGGACATGAATTCCACCCAGTTACTAGGAAATGTATTTAAATCGCTTGGTTTTTAGCCTGCTGCTCAGGTCAGATGTTAGCTCATCCAATCAGGATGCACAAGGTGTTAGAAGTAAATAAAGAGCAGAAATCTCTTCTTTTGCACCTTGGAGACCAATTGGGTGATCAGAAATCATTGTGCTCAGGGAGACACTGCTGGGGAAGCCGCAGACCAGGGTGGAACTGAATGTAATATATGCATTTGCAGAACTCAGACTGGACTTGGGTTAAAATGCTGCAGAATACACTGAATAGGGGAGTGAATGCATACAGGTTTTTAATACTTTGTCATTTTACTTTAGCTATTTTTTAAAATCTTGTTTATAAAAAGCAAAAGAGGAAAGACTATGTTTCATTTCATTCATTTCAAATAAATCATGCCAATTACAATGAAATAATTAGCAGCCAGTTGTGGGAGGTACGAGTGAGCGGGACTTCCTCTATTGTCAGTCACTTCCTGGTTTAGCCAAAACAGATGGAACTACTAGGAAATGCATTAAACCAGCCGATGTACAGTGTAGGCTGATGTCACCCCATATGAGTTTAAGGGCATTAGTTAAGGACACAGAGTGGAGTACCACTCAGCAAGGCACTTAATCTGAATAGCTCCAGTAAAATATCCCGTTATGCAAAATTATAAGTCACTTTTCATAAAAGCGTCAACTAAATGCAAATCTTTAACAATAATCTTACACAAAAAGTTGGAAATCATCCACTAATGCATTTACGACCATAAAAAGGACACTTATACTCGTCCCTGTCATGGAAGATTCATGGATGCAGGTCAGCTCTCATGTGGAGATACTTACCATCAAAAATCTCCAGCTCATCAAACTGTCGGCTGGTCTGGAAGTGCTCGATGGTCAGGGAGATGTTGTAGCCCGGCTCCACCTTCACTACCCAGGAGCATGTCTCAAAGTGTGGGAAGCCACTGCCCTGCATCTGGCTCAGGATCACGCCCGTGGAGTCTGTCAGGATCTCATTCATTGGACAGGTGACTGTTGGTGGGCGGAGACAGGAGATGAATGTCACTTGTTCATTGGATATGTGACTGTTGGTGGGCGGAGACAGGAGATGAGTGTCACTTGTTCATTGGACAGATGACTGTTGGTGGGCGGAGACAGGAGATGAGATTAATCAACTTGAACTAATCAATATGGGAACCATATTGATTAGTTAAAGCCAAAGATCTTAACTGAAACCAAGATTACTGCAGTTGCTCTGAAACTGAGCAACCCATCCTGGCAATGCTACCTGGCGTTACATACAACCTACGATATGAGCCAGGTGGTTGTTAGTTTGTGGCCCGTGTAAAATCCGCTGTATGATTCAGAGGAACTTTATCTGCTTACTCCACAGGATGAGTAACATGATGCCAGGCTCTCTGCCATGGGTACGGGCAGCTGGCGGGCTGTCAGGAAGCGATGTGGTGATGCGGCAGCCTGCCCTAACCACACATTTAGGTTTCCCGGGTGCTGCTGTAATGTTGCTGCCGAGCCACACGCCTGCAGCGAAAAGGGCTCTGATCCTCACTTTCTGTCATTTGTATTCCTTCCGGGTGCGTGGTGACATTTCCCACTAGATTTAACTTGAATTATCAGGCTTTCTGCGGTGTTCCTGTCAAAGGCATTTTGTTCAAACCTGTGAAGCCTGTCTCTTATTTCAGAGGGGGCTGCCTGAATTCAAAAGGACCATCCAAGTATAATGGGAAAAAAATAAAATAAAATTGTAATAATAAAATAAAAGCTGGCTTTTTTCTGAGACGATGTGGTCGCCATCTTGCTGTATTATTCAAAAATAAAGACTCAATCCCGTATAACCAACTTTTCAATGACTAACAATTCTGACATACACCTAATTCACAGGGACTGCATATGCAGGTATGCTGACCGTACAGCACAGACAGCAGCACAGTGTCTGCATGCCAGCTGGCTGTGTCCACCCACTCCACCCTGGACAGCAGTCACTGGCCACTCTGGGTACTGGGTGACCTTATAGCTGTTCATCTTCCATCCCAAAACATTAGGCCTTTAGTAGCTGCACTATACATCACCAACCTTTTAAACTAGAAGATACACAATGCACTAAGCACTTCTCACTGAATCCATATTAATGGAAATTCTGGTTGAAGGGCCTTAATTGGAAACCATACTGCAATGTTTGAAGAAACTTGGCAACCATTTATCACAAATTTAAAATCAAGGACAGCCGGTCTCACAAGTACCCATGAGAAAATATCAAGCTACTGGTGTATCAAAGGACATGCCATTCTACCATACCTTTAAATTAAATACTGTGCAGTAATAATAATAATAATAATCATAATAATAATCACCATCATCGTCATCATCGTCAATAGTCAACTGTTTAATTATCATGTTGACTGTTATGTTTGATTGTTATGTCAAACCATTACATTCAGCTATTGGGTTAAATCGATAAATAGTATGTCATTAAGTGGTCAAAGTGACACCCACACACAAAACCTCTTCCAGCTTATTTGCTTGGGGGCTCAAATCCGGTTTCTACACTGCTGCTTTGATCTCGGTTGCATCAGTGTAACGCCTTTTGGTAATCGATACTCTGAGCAGGAGACAGGCTCGGGGCTCTTAACATAACGTGACAGTTTGATAGGCCAGGCAAATGGACTAGCGCCAGAGGGCTGTGGGTTCTAATCCCACCCAAAGACAACAAATCCCTTGATGCCCATGAACCACTTTGCTGGACCTCCAGATGTCTAGTGAGAAAAGTCTTTGCAGATTGAGGCTTTTCCTGGACTGAGGCTTGTCCTGGACTGAGGTTTATTAGGGACTGAGGTTTGTCCTGGACTGAGGTTTATTAGGGACTGAGGTTTATTAGGGACTGAGGCTTGTCATGGACTGAGGTTTATTAGGGACTGAGGCTTATTAGGGACTGAGGTTTATTCTGGACTGAGCCTTGTCCTGGACTGAGGTTTATTAGGGACTGAGGTTTGTCCTGNTTGTCCTGGACTGAGGTTTATTAGGGACTGAGGTTTGTCCTGAACTGAGGTTTATTAGGGACTGAGGTTTATTCTGGACTGAGGCTTGTCTTGGACTGAGGTTTGTCCTGAACTGAGGTTTATTAGGGACTGAGGTTTATTCTGGACTGAGCCTTGTCCTGGACTGAGGTTTATTAGGGACTGAGGTGTATTCTGGACTGAGCCTTGTCCTGGACTGAGCCTTGTCCTGGACTGAGCCTTGTCCTAGATAGCAGCTGCCTGCCTTACTGGTGGTAAAAAAACATGGCAGCCTGGGATGCTGCTGCCCGTACAGCGGCTGCCGCTCTTTGACCTTAGCACCTTCTCCTCAAGCTCTTCCTCCTCTTGTTACAAAGTGGTGTCCATCCATCATAAACAAGACCCTACACTACTGACCTCTTTTAGATTTCAGGAAATGAGTTTCTGGACTGAATGCCTTACATGATCCAAACTGATTATTCATCCATCTTCCATAGCACCTGTTCTATGCAGGGTCACAGAGCCTCTCCCAAGAACGATGGGGGCATGGCAGCAAATAACCCGGGATGGGGCACCAAGCCAGCGCATGACATGGAACACATGGAAAATTCAGCAACACCAAAGCACCATAGCATGTTATTGAACTGTGGGGGACAACCCCACAGCAACAGTGGGAGAACATTAAAACAAAACTCCACACACATTCAAACTGACCCTCTGCTGCTTCCTTGTTTCTTTAAACCTCGACTTTAAACAGCCCGATTGTTCTTAGGATTCTTTAAGCACACTGTGAATAATGGGAGATGTGCTGTGCTGTTTTATCAATATAATCACCGTTTTTATCAGAGGATATCAGCATCCAACCAGCTATTTAATAATTCAGCGAAAAGCCTGAGGCTTACTTTACAATTCATAGACATAATAAAATAGGTAACAAATCAGCTGAGATAGGTAGCTTTAGCTGAACTCCTGGCAATGATTAAGAAGCAGTTGTGGTCTTCGGGCCTTTGGCCGAATATGAGCACTGCGATAAAATGCTAATGTTAAGCTTAGCAATAACCGTTAATCACCACACTAGTTTGGCTCCTAAGTGAATTTAAGCTGATAATAGGGCAACCGCAAATGATACAAGCAAAAAAAATATATTAAAAAATCAATGAGTAGCCGAGTTATCCATGAATGTTTGCTAAGAAAGTACCGTCACTTATTCTCATTAACGGCACAATTAACCGAACCCAGTTTTTGCCGAACTATAATATGATCATTTTATTTGGTTGCTTCCTTCCTTGAATAAGGACACAACACGCACACTTACTTAGTCACTTGAACCTCTAAAACCATATTTTAGAGGCACTGACTATAGGGTTGGTGCCTTGGTGACATTATATTTGATACTGGTACCTAGGTAACCATTACACTGAGTTTTTTAGAGAGACAATGCCCACTTTATATGCTAAAGTGCCACATGTCAAAGACCGCAATCCCGGAATCACTCTGGATAATCAGAATATGAAATGGGAATTATAAAACACTGCTTTGGGGCTCAATTACTGCAGGCAAACAAGCTGCTAACGTGGTCTTTTAACAGGCCGACACAGGGTATTTACAGAACTGCTGGGTCTGGTGAATGATCGGGGTGAGCTAATTAGCAATGAAATGCCGTTTATGAAGTCCCATGAAGGACTGCTTCACCGTGGCCCGGTGTGTGTGCTGGCCGAGTACTGAAATCGTGCACCAAATGCACGGGCAGGGCCAGAACGGTGAGCGTGTCACCAGACCTGACCAGGAGAATGTTCTAGAAGATAACAGTAGCAGTGCTAAAAAAGATCATTATTAATAATAATAATAAGAAAACGGGGGAGGAATTGGAATGAGGAGCAGATATAATGATTTAGAGATAAATAAAAATAGATTTGTCATTTCCCTTGAAGTAGGTGGCCCACTTGCGTCACAGGAAGGAGGCTATCCTGTCATGCCAACCTAGGACAGCGCTCCTGCTTCTCCTTGACAGTCCTCAACAGATAGGCATCGGATATCGCGTCTCCTCTAATTTCCACCAGCAGAAATCGACCGCTCTCACGATACAGGAACGCGGCCTTCTGTCTGGGAAGCGGGAGGTAGGGCCGGTCTTCCCGTCAGCGGAGAGCAGCGTAGGGCATGCTCATTACTCGACCGGATTCGGAAGACCCACGCAGACTGGAGAGCGAGGTGCAGTGGGTCCCAGAATGGACACACACACACACATGCAGACGCATGAAATGCATGAAAGCACATTACATCGGGGAGAGACGGAAAACAGCACATTCCTCTCCCGTGTTAGCATTTAATTAACATAAGCTTACCGATGATAAGGGCCAGATCTGCGAGGCCTCCGAGTGACATTAACGTTAGACAGTGTGAGCAGCTGCCGATTTAAAAACAAATTAGGGATTGTGTGGGTGCATAGACAAGTGCTTTAATGGCCCCCGCCTGTCTGTCATCACATGTGGTAAATATAAATGGGAAGCGAGGGCATCCCTCACATCTGAGCAGACAACAAATCTGGCAATAGTCCGCAACCCAAAAACACACCGCGGGCCGGAGGTTACAGGAGGTACCAGGTCCTAATTTTGCTACATTTGTTTGCTGCATAATTAGGACAATATATGCAATTTCAGCTAAAACTGTTAAAAAACATTTCCCATATTATCCTAAAATCTCAGTCTCAGGAATGAAGGCAAGCAGGGAAAAAAAATATTCTCTTCACTCAATGCAACAAGTCACCATAAAAAAAAATACAGAAATACATATCCATCCATTCATCTATCCATCCATCCATCATCAAATGCTCACCTTGGCCAGGGTCGGCAAGAGAAAAAACATATGTGAATAAATAAATCGTAAAATGAAAGAAAATAGCTAAGTAGAGCAGGAAAAAAAACCTTTCAGAAGACAGGGGGGTCTTGGGTTACTCCCATCGCCATGGAGACAGAAGGAAAGGGGCTTGCATTATAAAATCAGAGTGCAGGGAAGTGTGTATGCATCACAAAGAGGGAGCATGTATGGCGGAGCTGATTAGAGTGTGCTTAGGAGTGTGCACATGAAGCACAGCAGAGAACAGGCTGAGGGCATCTGCCGTAGGATTACTCATAACTTTCTAGACGCAGATCACCTACGGGGGGCAGTGCGATTTAGGTAGGACTCACCATAATGTCCAACAATCACTGGAAATGCACACACTTGTGATTCATTCATGGAGCGGTTTGCTGTCGGGCCGTAACGATATCACCTTCCTCGTGATACACCGTGCGCGCTGAGTGCCTCGACCTGGCCAAGTGGGCAGGGTGGGGCAGGCTTTGGATCGCTGTTAATGGCGAGAGGACCATGCACAGCGGGGTGTGTGTGAACGCAAGGAGCGGGCGTGATACACGCATGTGAGTCAGTGTGCTGCTGCACAGTGATCTGTGCCTGATCAAGGGCTGCGTGTGTGTGTGTGTGTGTGTGTGTGTGTGTGTGTGTGGGAGCAGAGGAAGGGCTGGGAGGCAGTGAAAGCCCGTGATTCGATAGGTGCAGCTGCAGCATGGATATCACCTGCATCCCAATGAGCTGCGGCGGTATTCCGCTGCTTCCCTTGCCCTCTGTCGTTCTCGCTCGCTTATCCTCTCATCCTCCCTCACTCTCTCTCCCCTTCTGCCCACTTTCTTACCCACTCTCTCCTCTGATACCTCACCAAGTGATCCCTGCACTCTCTGTCTCCTCTGATAACTCACCCAGGGATCCCTGCACCCTCTCTCTCCTCTGATAACTCACCAAGGGATCCCTGCACTCTCTGTCTCCTCTGATAACTCACCAAGGGATCCCTGCACTCTCTCTCTCCTCTGATACATCACCCAGGGATCCCTGCACTCTCTGTCTCCTCTAATACCTCACCAAGGGATCCCTGCACCCTCTCTNCCCTGCACTCTCTCTCTCCTCTGATACATCACCCAGGGATCCCTGCACTCTCTGTCTCCTCTAATACCTCACCAAGGGATCCCTGCACCCTCTCTCTCCTCTGATAACTCACCAAGGGATCCCTGCACTCTCTGTCTCCTCTNCTCTGATAACTCACCAAGGGATCCCTGCACTCTCTGTCTCCTCTGATAACTCACCAAGGGACCCCTGCACCCTCTCTCTCCTCTGATAACTCACCCAGGGATCCCTGCACCCTCACAGATCTCCGATACTTCACCCAGTTGAAGAAAAAAAAAAAAACACAGGAATACAGAGATAAAGTGAGACACACGCGTGAGACCCACTCCTCTGCTCAGCTCACTCTTCCTCTTCTCTCTCTCGCTCCTGCCGTCAGTGTCCGCAGTGAGTGAATGCCCAGCTGTGTGAGCTGGCCCACCACATAGAGGTCTCCTTCATGAAGAAGCAGATTAACGAGGATCACATAATTAATGGCAAGACCAATTACGGTGGCCTCACGTGGGCACTACGGCGTGAAGGAGCGGACGGGGTCCCGCTCGGGCTCCTGCGGCATGTCCGCAAGTCCGGGCTGAACGCTCACGTCACCGCGAGTAATGACCACTTTGTTATTCACCCTGCGTCCGACGCTTGGCGTATCCTTGACAATGGACATTGGGAACCTCCCCCTTGTGGCACAGACATGCTGATGTGACCTGGGGGGGGGGGGGCTCAGCTCACTCAAAACGGCCCTCGTTTCTATCCACAAGCAGTTTGGAGACATCATCAAGCAGACACGTGGCTCACATGTCCATCGGGGGGCAGTGTGTGGCTCGGTGGTTTAGACCGCTTTGAATCCGATCCTCAGCAGAACAGTCACATTTCCGGGGGCCCTTGAGAGAGGATCTTAACTCCCCTGTATGTTCCAGAGACACCACATAAATGGCCTCTCCCTGAGTTTGGACCACAAGCTTCACTTTCAACTGTATATATGTGAATGTGTTTCTCAAAGGAGAGCATGATGGGATATGTGAAGAGAAGCATTGCGATGTACATGTGCGAACAGCAAATAAAGCGTCATCTCATTTATAAAGCGATGCAGAAGACTGCAAGGATCAAATGCCCACTGGTTACACTGGAATAATTAAAAATCTGTTAGTCATGTGTTAATAAAAACGCTAAAGGGGTAGGGATCAATGGGAGGAGAGAAGAATGAGATGTGGGCAGTAACGGGGGGGAGTTGGGGCAGCTCACCCTCACAGGACGGCGGGGGGCCCTCAAACTCCAGATGTGTGCCGAGCCGGCAGGTCAGGATGCTGCTCCCGCTCAGCTGGTATCCCGGGAGGCACCGGTAGCGGACGATGTCCCCTGAACGGAAACGGGCGGGTGAGCTTTTGCTGGGCCGAGATTTACTGCACATTCCCAACCCGAGTCACAGGCAGAGAGTGGGACAGGAACGGATACAGCAGAGAGCTTTAGCTTCAGGTTCAGGTTACATTATTTGTACCCGTAGGGAAATTTTAGGAACCTTACACTTTGGGTTATGCTGCCATGTATTGCATATAAGAGGCTTTATATACACGTGATGTCACATGAAGCATTAATTCACACTACTAAAGTTTTCACAGTGTAGAAAGTGCTCTAGGCAAAATCCTGGAAAGATTACAGCCGACACCTGCTGTATGCGATACGATCAATCCAGGCGAGTGACCGTGGCAGTAGATGCCGCACTACAGATTTAATTTGTTAACTGTTGTGTGGGTATGTGTCCCCTTCCTGTGCCCTTCCATCAGCACCTTCACTGAATCAGCAAATTAACTTAATGTGACGCATAATTAATGATGGCAAAGCGAGCGGAGAAGGTGGCTGCCAGCAGGCCCCGCCGTCCTCCACGCCTCTCGCGGACCCTCAGCCACCCCGGCGTCCTCCGCGCCTCTCGCGGACCCTCAGCCACCCCGCCGTCCTCCGCGCCTCTCGCGGACCCTCAGCCACCCTGGCGTCCTCCGCGCCTCTCGCGGACCCTCGGCCACCCCGCCATCCTCCGCGCCTCTCGTGGACCCTCAGTCGCGGCGCCTTCCTCCGCGCCTCTCGTGGACCCTCAGTTGCGCCGCCGTCCTCCGCGTCTCTCACGGACCCTCAGCCGCGGTCCGTGGGCTCTCTGGCTGAGAAATGAAGCTCAGCCATACTGCACTGCAGTTGGCCGTGTTTGAACAATTCTTGGAATGTTTACCCGTTGTCACCCGAGAAGGTCCTGGAGGCTGTCCTAATCTATCACCGATGGAACGGATGCCTGAAAACAGGACCATTCGGCAGGAAATGGAAAAGTACAAGGGCATGAAATCATCGCTGATTGTTTCAGTTCTATGGACGGCCTCAAAATGGATTATCTGTTCCTCAGTGAATCCATTTTTAATCGAAACAAGCTTTCGTATTGGCTGGGGAGGTGGGGGTCTTACTCTATTTCAGAATTTCCCCAATTTAAAATACAGAGGTTAAAAAATGAATCCCGTGTCATGTAGGTGTAGTGTGACAGCTGGCTACAGGAACTCAAAGAGAAATTTTAAAAACATGCATCTGTGTGTAGGTAGGACTCATCAAACATCCAATTTTGGTTTGCTTACTTGTATAGACTTTCTGTTACTGGTTGATTATTGCTCTATGCTAATACTCTAAATTATCTTTTATTTATTTTAATGTGAGCAGTTACAGCAAAAACAAATTCCTTGTGTTCGAGTTACACTTAGCGAATGACATTGATTCTAACTGTGATCCAGAAGTATCATAACTGACCACTAGGCATCCTGGGAAGATCTATCCTTAGAAGCGGAACTGTCCTGTCTATGGAAAGCAGCCTTTACTGCCACCAGCTGCTTGCACCCTGTTGCCCCGGAGTCTCGCAGTTGACGCTGCTTTCTGTAAAGTTCGGCCGGCCTTGAGGCTCTATGCAGAGGCTCACCGATTTTAAACTCTTTGCTGGCTGTCAGGATCTCAGCGTTGGGGATGACAGGAGGAGGGAGGCAGAACTGGAGGCGGTAGGCTGGAACGACATGAGACAGACGAAGGGGGTGAAACCACACACTTTCTCTGGGTGTCTGCGTGTGTGTGTGTGTATAAGGTATTCATGGAGGGAGGCAGAGAGTGGGAGGGAGACACGGTGCGAGGGTGTTTAAGTGTGTCTAAAAGAGAAAGTGTTTATGTAGGTGTGAGCCTGCGAATGCAGCGAGGGTGGCAGCCAGCTGACTGATGCTGCCGCCAATGTCTTTACCACCACGGCCATGTTAGTGGGAGGTGGGGGAGGCTATTCATAAAATTACACCTTAATATACAGCAGTGGTCATGCCAAGAATTGTATTCACCCATTTGCACTGAAAAAGAAGTACTTATGAAAGAACGAGCTATCTGAGACGTAACCAAAAAGGCGGATAATCCTTTAAAGCAGGAATGCAAGACAAAACTACATAATACCATGCAATATTTGAGAGAACAAGAACATACTGTAATAACAAAGCATGAAATTGTATTGCAAAATTTAAAAATAGCACTGATGTGTACAGAAAATCACAGATCAGTTGTAACAAATTGTGACTGAATTAAAAGAGTGAAGTATTCTGCAGAGTGTCTGTAGCCTACCTTGGTAAGTGATTCTGAAAAGGCCACCTTTTTCAGAGTTGCTACGGAAACGAACAAGGACCTGATTGGACGTGCTGCTGGGAGGGTTGATTGGCTCGGTGTCGGTGAACACGCCCAATTTCCGTGCCGTCTCCTGTGGCCCGTCCCTGAGGAGTGAAACGTTGGTGGCACAGACTCACCCACAATCCTTTGCGGCAGCTGCTCTAATTTTCACCAAACTGTGGTCATAACCAGGTCAATCATCCCCTTTCGTATCAACATCTTCACATCTGCCTCCATACCACCAAATATACACAAACAACGCCACACAAAGGAAGTAAACATACAAGTACAAGTGCAAGTACACAGGGGGAAAATCTTCCTTCTCGGGTCCATGGTTAAAAACAGAAACTGGAAAATTCTGCATCTCTCAGAATGGGGCTTGGGGGGGGGTGCCTGGATCGACATTAGCTTGAAGACACAGGAGTAAATGGGACAGACAACTACCCCCCTCCCATGTGGTCTGTTCAGGTTTGGGCCAGAATTCTGGGCTGCCACCCCCTGCGATGGTTGTGGATTCGAAAAAGCCTCCAGGGGCAACTATCTGCCTCAAATCATCACAGTGTGCAGCAGGAAAACAACAAAGAAACACCTGCATCTTTGCAAAGCTGCTTTGGAGGTGCCATGGAATTAGACAGCAACTTCTGACAATCAGTGTGCATTAGCGAAGCCCCGGTCCTACTCTGGCTTTGTTCTAAAACTACCCAGGTGTCCCCATCAGGCCTCAAACACAAACTTGAGCTCCAAAGCCATGAGCTATCATTTGCAAATTAAAAAGTAACACTGTCATCTAGGGCTGGCACCAAGGGGCAGAACCGGCTATTTTCCAGGTCGTCAGCCTTGGCTCCTAGTCAGGGTGGAGTCCTGAACCTTCACGCTGAGGCGGGGCCAGTCGGGCGTGTCAAAGCCCCGTCGTGAATATGCATATGGTCCTTCCCATGCATATCAGCGAGGAGCGGGCTGGGCACGCCCCATTGGCCCGAAGGCCGCATCTCATTAATTAAACAAACGACAGGCTCTGGCAGCACCAATGGCAACCTTGCGGAACCAAAGCATTACGGGGATAAGAAGGGGAGGGAGCGCCAGCCTGTGGGTGTCCCGAGGCGAGGAACGTTCCCTACATCAAAACCGTAACGGGGCGCAAAGTGACGTCAGCGCGGAGACACAGAACGGGAGAGGGGATTATCCAGAGTGCTGGACCCTGACTTCCCTGTTTGTTCTGCCTCTGTGAGAACAGAAATAAAAAGGAATAAAAAAAGAAATCGAAGAGGAGGACAAGGGAGGGGGCGATCCTTGGCCTCAAGGGAAGGAAGATTATCCAACGTGTGGCAGCGGGAGGAATCCTTACCAGACGGTGATGAAGTCATGGGGGCCATGGACCTGGAGTAGGGTGAAGTTAAGGCTGACACCCATGCCGGGGGCGATGGTGATTAGCCAGGTGCAGTCAGACAAGGTGGGGTACTCCTCCGGGTAGCCGGGGGAGAAAATGGTGCCATTGTCTGATGTTATGTTGCCCCCACAGAGTGCTGTGAAGAAAGGGATACACAAAAGGGGTGGGGTGCTTAGACACACGGCACACAAAGCCGGATTCGTGAGGAGTTGGGGAGCGGGGGTCGCTGCCTTTCTCTCTCTCGCTCACCCTCTCTCATCCACTCGCTCGCTAGGACCAAAGATTAACCGAAAAAGCCTTTTAGCAAGCGAGTAGTTGCTCGGAATGTTCCGGGAAGATAAGGGCACAACCTTCTCCCGTGAGGAGTCACTCTAAGCGGGAGCTGGGGCTGCGCACGCCACCGCACTTTAGAGGAGATGAGTGCCATCGTGGGGAGCCGCTGGCTTTAAATCCCAACTCGCCGGACAACGAGACAGAACCCAAAATATTTCCCCAAGGTCCCTGACTCTGATTCGTCTCCCTTGCCCCATCCCAGATAACCACATGGAAATTTTGGGGTCTGTTTGCTTGTGCTAAAGAATATTCCAAGATTCTAAGTGAAGTGAATAAAATAATTAAATTAAATAAATAAAAAAATCCCCATTTACTGATCCCCCCGTAGAAGTGCAACAGACTAGCTTAAAACTGACAAAGTGGGATCCTCGATGGCGACAGACTCAGCTGCCGCTTACTAAGCTGTGGGCCAGTGCTCAGTGCGAAACCCTCGACGGCGCCGGCATAAGAGCCAGCCTTGGTCCCTCGTTCTCGCTGCAGTCGGCTCTTTTTCCAATGACTGCAGGCCACCCTGAAGCCTCGGACGACCCCTTATCTGTCTGAATCTTTAGCAGGGTGCCCCAGTTGCCTCACCTGTCAAATGAAATATCGACTTGGGGCATCGATCAAAAAGGTGTCCTGCTATTGGACGCCGCCAAGCTGAGTGTTATCGATTGGTCGATGGCTGGCTCTAAGGTGGCTGCCCACAGGAACTTAAATAGCGCTGAGGAGAAAGGTGCATAGAGGGCAAGGCAGCCTTATTCTTCGGACAGGTGGGTGGGGAGGAACCAGTGGACTCCGTCGCCCAGTAAAACCCTTTCTCAGGACAAAGAAGATGAGAATGTCGAGATGTTGGGCTTGACTGTGCCCTTTCACGTCAGGGCTATCAGCCGATAACCAAACACATTTTTCCCCCTCTCCATTCTGCTCTCTTTTTCTTATTCAATTTGCATTTAATCAGGTTGTTTCTATATACTGCCGTCATTTGATGTCATGGTTTCGGTGTCTGCCCCATAAAGCCGTCTCCTGACCTTGGCTGAGTGAGCGCCATGTGTATTATAACAGTGACTTTTGTTTTTCAGACTGGCGTCGATGCAGTGGTCGTATCATCAGAAGAACCTGCATTCTACATGCAGGTGCATGTGGAAAACAACGCAAGTCAAAGTGGGTGGTGTAGTAAACAGTTGACAATAATTACAATTAAAGTTTCTAATCTCAAAACCGTCTTATAGAAAACAAACAAACAGCACCTGAGAATAAACAGTGAAGGGGAGGAGGGCTTAGGAAAAAAAAAAAACAACTGGCATCTGTAGTATAGTGTTGCCAAGTGTTAATATTTTCAAAATGGCAAGATTAAGTATTTGGCAAGTATGGTGCAGACAACTAAGATCCAGAACTACTAACCGCTAACAACTTTGCTTTGATGACTTTCTCTGAACCATTTCCTTCACATATGAGATGTTGTTGGCTAAATAAGTCTGGAGACTAATGTGCCCAAGACCCCACAATTCTAAGAGTCATTCCACACACTATAATTACAAGCAGTAAAATATTTCAATGAATGGATCCCCAGTGATATGGATCACTAGAGCCATGTGGATCTATCACCGTTTTAAGGCAGAAACTTGTGGGAGACATGTTTTCAAAATGACCATTATGTTTTCTAGGCAAAGTTATATAAATTAATCACTACTACAATTATTTGTACCCTATCTCTTAATAGCATACTTTTGTTCAATGCCCTGCAAAAATATAAATCTGAACGCAAATTTTGTGTGTGTGTGTGTGTGTATATTTATATATATATATAAACTTAGAACATGTAAACGTATGAAATCTGGAGTGTATAATGGCTTTAATGCTCTGAAAGAATGGAAAACAGATTGAAAAAGATAAATAAAAAAAAACATTGTTCCACATAAAATATAATGAATTATGTTAGAGCAGGTCAAATATGAATGATGCTTAAATCATATACTCTAGCCTAAAAAAGCAATTCATTGGCAAGATGGGTCAAAGAGAGTGAATTCTGATTGGCTGCATTCTGAATATGCAGATTTCTCAGAGCTAAGGTCATTGATGAGTGTGGCTCAGACTATTGTGCCCACCCCTCTGACATTCAGCCATAATAACATTCATTCAGGTACCATATTAGGTAGGAGGAGAGGGTGTCTCGCTTTGAACGCTGTGACAAATACAGAAGTAATCCAATTTTCCCAAACATTTGTAATGACCTGCATGAGCTGACTGATTGGGCTCTCGGCACAGGCGTAATATACTTCAGTTACCAATGAGATGGTCCACTTCAGGCCCTTGTTGATGTCAGGACCATTGAAGCAAACTGAACGACGCAACCAAGCTAGCCACAAACCACCAGGAACTGCAGGCAAACATCGCTTTCAGACCCGCACCGCTGGGATTACATACAGGGGCGGAGCCATGGTGGCGCTCGTCCTAGATGAAAGCTGATTGGCCTCCAGACTGCCCACTCCCCTATCACTCACTAATTCAAAACACATCACTGGCTAATGTTAAGGTTGGTCCCTCTGTATGAATTATGGCCCTTTCTACCTTAAAAATCCTAGAATTCCTGATTAAATGCCATGAACGTTAAACAACCTAACGTTGATGCAAAGGGAAGAGGTGAGGGGTCAGCACCCAAGGCCCCCAGATCTATAAAAGTCCCACTTTGCTGGAAACCTCTGAAGGCAGTAGCGCAGCCGCTACCTGAGTCACACGCAGCATCAGGCACGCCACCCCTGCTTTCGCCCGCTCTGTCTCCCAGCCCGCTTTACTCTCAATCACCTAATTAGGCTTCATTTCCTGATAGGTCAAGGGGCAGCCATCTTCATCGGGACAGACAAATGCGGAATTCAGGAACAAAAGCACGTAAGATTGAAAGTTCTGCATTCGGAGCTGATTGATAACGATTTAATTCTTAATTAGCTCACATTGGGGAGAAAATAAAGATACATAGTGGAATATTCTAGCTGTATTTGGTTCTACAAATCAACACTGTCCTAATGGGTAAGGAGAGCAGAACATGGAATGCCAGATTTTGTTTTTAAGACTTGAAGTTTATAAATTATATCAAATTTTAAATTACAAAATGCTGGTGTCAGATTTTAACAAATTTATAAATGACCAGAAGAAATGTGGCCAATTGACATCTGGCTCAATTGTACATATACTGTAGTACAGCATATACAATATGAGAAGCTGCATGAATTGCCACAATTTCAAATTAGTTATGGAAAAAAAAACTCTGAAAAAAGGGCTTAAATGTGTAGGGACAAGAGAACCACAAAAGAGAGAGACTTCAGATTCCTTAGAATGATCCACCCACATCATGACAAAATATTTCATGTAATTTGATGTAATTGCAGTATCACTAAGACAGTCTGTCAGCGCTGCTTTTGTTTGCATGTAATGGAGGAGGCCTTGGCAGTTTAGCTAATCAAAGGAAGAATCACGTTCAAAAGGATCCCTTCTCTGAATTAATCCCAACTTTAAAGCAAATTACGTTCAGGCAAACTGGCCCACTTCACCAAAATCCCAGTAAGTGTTCCTCACAGAGCCTGAAATACAGCGAGCATTACTTATTATCACGTAACACGACGCAGACACACACAGACAATATGGGTCAACAATATGCCAGAACATCACTTACTACAGAGCCTAGGTTTAAGTTCTCAGCGACTATGTTACGTATGGCGTCTATATTTTGCAGTATTCTTAGGTGCACTGGAGCGCAGACTACTGAGAATATTAAAATATGTGTGTGGCGTCTGAAAACTTGATAAAACCACAGCAGTATGCAAATGAAATGGACCTTGTAATCATGGGGGTTATAACACTGAGACTTGGGCCATCAATAGCCAGTCCTTGGGCTGGGGGGTCTAGGTTGGGAGCAGTTTCATGGGATGCAAACTCTTTAGATTTCCTTAAAAGGAAAATGTTTTATAGGTATAATCTGTAATGTTGTGCCATGACTGCTGCTGCAAATGCTATCACCAAAGCTATAATTATCTCATTACCACAGATCAAAACATTGCTGTTTCCCAAATGTCATTAATACTAGAAACCACCACTACTGCTCCCCTCTTACACCATGCCTGCTACTCACAGAGTGACTGCTGCTCCCATTCCTCTCACACCACGCCTGCTACTCAGAGTATGACTGCTGCTCCCATTCCTCTCACACCACACCTGATACTCAGAGTATGACTGCTGCTCCCACTCCTCTTACAACACACCTGCTGCTCACAGAGAATGACTACTGCTCCCACTCCTCTTACACCACACCTGCTACTCACAGAGTATGACTTCTGCTCCCACTCCTCAGTTCCTATGGGTTTTGGCAAGCCCTACCTTCACAGCGCGGGAAGGGATGGTCCCAGTTGCGGACGGTGCCATGCTCGCAGGTGAGGATGGAGTGGCCCACCAGTTGGTACCCCGGCTGGCACTCGAAGGAGATGGACTGGCCCACATTGTAACCAGCGCCCACCACCACGCCATGGCGGAATGGCTCTGGGTCAGGGCATTCCTGTAACTCATAGGCTGAAAAGACAGAGAGATTTAGCAATTAAAAAAATTATTATAAAGACAAACACTTACTCTATGCTTATTAAATATACGAAAGAACTACACAGAGAAATTTCTCCTTGAGGGTGAACATCAAAAGTAAGTTATGACACACTGAAGTACCAATCCTTCAAAACTGACACTTAAGGGTAAAAAAAAAGAAACAACAGGTTGGTTTTATCTTCACCTTGATATTCAAACCTGAAGCCAGGTTTGTTCTGAGAGTGGTCGCTGTGAAAGTACACCGTGGTCTCATGGGAAGTAGTCAACAGGGAGGGAGGGATTTCCTGTCCGCTGAAGCGGCCAATTACAGAGCTGGTTTCAAAGGGGCCATTGCGGATCTCCAGGAAGTCATGGTTAGCCTCAGTGGAGAAGTTGAGGAATTGCACATGCGCACCTGCCAATAGCAATACAGAGATAAGGGTCACCGGCCAATAGCAATAGAGCGATAAGTGTCACCAGCCAATAGTAATACAGCAAAAAGGGTCACCAGCCAATAGCAATACAGAGATAAGGGTCACCGGCCAATAGCAACACAGAGATAAGGATTACTTGGCAATTTCATCTGAATACCACTGTGCCACAGCTGAGAACTGATGTCAGAATAATGTTATAATCAATTGTCTAGATGTCTTCATTGGCTGTTTGAATACAATCTCATTCGTAATGCATCTTTTTGCTAATCAAACAAGGGACGATGAGCTTACAGTGCAACTGGCCAAGAATTAATTAAGAGAAAATTTATAAGTTGGCATCATTTCAGCAAACTTCCAAAGCCTGAAGGCATGCATGTCAGAAATTCTTGTTCAACAACCGCTATAAGAAACAAAGGGCAGCGTTTAAGCTGTCTGTAGCGGGCTTCTGCATTTGGCAGGTCTCACCGATATTACAGGCCGAGGTATGTCACATCCCTGTAAAACAGCCACCGAAAGTCAATGGGCAGACATTTACTTAACCGTAAGTGATTTAAGGTGTTATGAATCTTTATTTTACTTAGGCATAAAAAAGCTGAAATGAACTGCAGAGGATCATGACCCTCCTGTGAGGAATATGCACTGTGCACAGCACAGACCCTTCCATATGACCACATTCTCTGTGAGCTAACGGCCCAGGGAAATGAAATGACGCTTTATTTGCCATTTGCACAAGCACATTAGAATGCTTCTTTTCACATATCCCATCTTCACCCTCATATATCCATTTGAGAGTGAAGCTTGGGGTCTGACTGCAGGGTCAGGCCATTTATCCAGCACCCTTGGGGCATGTTGGGGGGGTTAAGGGCCTTGCTCGAGGGCCAAATGAAGACGTGATTATTTTGCTGAAGATGGGATTTGAAGAGATTTGAAGTGCCGATCGCAGGCACAGAGGCCTAACCCAGTGAGCCACATACCCCCCCCCCCCCCTCCCGAGCAGCCTAAGAAGAAGAATGGAGTCTCACCGTATCCTACAGGCAGGTAGATCTTCCAGGTGCAATCACTGTTGCTAGGATAGTTCCCTGGGAAACCCGGACTCAAGATCATCCCCTCCATCTCCTCTCGAATCCCCCCACACTGGGCTAAGAGGGCGGGGCCAAGGTCAGGGGTTGATGAGCAAGTTGAGGAAAAATCATGGTAGAAGATACAAGTCAGAGGTGTCACACAGAATCAGTGTGAGACTGATTCTGGCAAGTGGCTGAGGCAGATTTCAAGCAAGTTTGACAAGATCACGACTGGATATCATAGCAGAGACTCCGAAAGCCTTTTACTATAACAGCTGTAATCAGGTCCTCTCTACTGAGATCTGAAAATGAGCAATTATTTCATTTAAAAACCTGGCAATTCAATTAGAAAGCCATCAAAAAGGGCTCTAAAATCAGTGCAAGGCCCTCGATCCACTCGCACTTCATTCTGGAGAAAATGCTCAGATGTGACTCAGCCTGCTTCCTTAGCTTTTCAGCCTAAATTGCTGATTGATTTGAGAGTCACTTCACAGAAGCGGCGTGACTGAAGAGCATCAAACCCTGGGCTCCACCCAGGGAGGGGGATCTGCAGCCCAGGGAGGGGGATCTGCAGCACAGGGAGGGGGATCTGCAGCACTGCCTACCAGAGGGTTAAACCCACCGGGCAGCATCTGAGCAGAGAGGAGCTGCATCGCCCCCTTCGAGGGGGGCACAGAGGTGTGTGTGTATGTGTGTCAGAGAGAAAGAGAGACAGCCATTGGCACAGAAGTGGCAGTGCCCTGTCCCCTAACAGCACTGAAGGAACAATCGAGGAATATCTCAGTAAATATTTTTAATGAGACTAAGAATAAAGAAATAAATTCATAAAAACCATGAAAGAGGCACCGTAATGGCACGATAAATAAAGATATGACAGAAATGTGGGCTACGGTGGAGACGATGTAAAAATCACATTTTTACCTACAGTTCTTATTACTGAACAGTGTTAAAAATAAGTCATAAGGTGCTAGAAGAGATTAGCGATTTTATTATTATTATTACTATTATTCGTAGTAGTAGTAGTAGTAGTAGCAGAAACAACAAAACAACACCAACAAACATAATAATAATAATAATAATAATAATAATACATGTCCTATTCCAGTGTAAACTGAATGGCAAAGAGGCACCGATCTTGTGCTCTTCTGTGCAGTTGCCATGTTGCACTGAGCAAGTGTGTGTGTGTGTGTGTGTAGAGCATTTGCATGCATGTGGCAGGCCAGCCTTACCAATGCATAGAGGAGGCGGGAAGTTCCAGCGCCTCACAGTGCCGGGCATGCAGGAGATGTGGGAGTTGCCCTGCGACCACAGAGATCAGGATTAAGCCATCAATTAACCCATCAAGCTCACCTCTGAGCTCTGTTTATGAACTGCATTGCAAATACTGCATGTGCTGATGAAAGCTGCTACCTATTGCACAGCCCTGTTACACCTCCGTTA